ACTGCAGTAATTATCCAATGGAAGGCTCTTACCAATTTGTTTAGTTAAATCTAGGTGGTGACTTTTTTTTTGGACGGGCAGTGTATTTAGCGTGCAGACATGTAGCCCACTCCCACGCCAAGTAGACCCATCAATCCACAAGAGGAGACCGGGTCAGAGCCATGTTTTGCCTGTGTATGAAGGTGCAGCACCAGCAGTAGTATAAAGAGAGAATTTCTGCTGTTCGAGTTCCTTGTGAAACCAAAAGTCAACATTGATTTTGTCAGATACAGTCTTTTTCTAAACCTAACCAAGTGGTTTTTGGTGCCTAGACCTGACCAAACTGCGACCTCATTTTGAAAGTGTAACACTGCAACACCAAGGTGAGGCAAAATGAGTGATAACGGGTTGAGACACGAGAGCGGTATCCAGCCTCTCATTCATTTTAGAACCATCCCACCTGAATACATCAATCCAATATAAGAAATAACTGCAGCAGATATCACTGCAGCATATCATATGTCAAATACGTTACACACAATAAATGATTGATTCACGTTCAGGGTGCAGATGAAGTGTGGATGGTACTTTCATAGTGTGAAATAAATCAGCAGCACACACTTCAAGTAAAGTGTAGTGACAGATGAATAACAGACTGATCCAAATAGGTCAGTGCCGGTGTTCTCCTGTGACTTGGTCTATGTTGAAATAAAAAGAAAACCTGCCTTCCATCCACCGCAGTAAACGTCTTGTGATGGAGAGTCTGGCAGATGGGAAACAGAGATGCGTCAAAAAAGAAAAGTGTGAGGCTGTGCAGCTTATGCAGACAGTTGACTGTTTCACAACCCTCCCACGGAGAGTGTTCTAAACGGGAGATTCGCTTTGATCACCTCTCTGGATTAACTGACAGTGTGTATCAGTGTGTGGTGCGTATTTGTGTTTGTTGGATTGGAGGATGGGAGTCTGTACGTTTGACTCAAGCTTACTGCAGTGATAAGGGGGAAATATTTTATTAATCTATTAAATGAGTGGAACTACTCATTATACAGTTGAGGCGTCTTTTGTGGATGTTCTTGGAAAAATTGAGTGATTCTGAATAGTAATAATATTAAAACACAGAGAAATGCTGCTACTGCACCGTCTCTACATATGAATACTAGCAGGGAAGAATGCTAGTTTTTCTAATTTAGGTCACAGATGCAGAACCTACCGTCGTCAGCCGAGGCTTCACTGCTGTAGCCGTCATAATCAGCAGTCAGGGGGCTGTACTTCTGCCGGCTCTCCCAGCTGAAGCCTCCTGCGTGTTTGGTATTAGCGGCTGCCTTGGCTCCTCCCCGGAGGCCTTGGGAGCGGCTGACCGCTTCCTGATACTGACCCATCAGTTCATCCTCGCTGTCCGATGATGAGCCCTGCAGGTCGGCGTCAGAGTAGGCCTTGTCTGGTCAGGGTAGAGAAAGATGCCCTGGTTAATGAGGGACATACTGGGATGCAAAAGGTCGGGTAGACTGGCAGCCTCTGCTGGCCTCAATCCTGCATTACACGGGAAACCTGTAAAATTTCTTTGTAAAAGGTAAATGGAAAAAAATATATATTGTATAAAATAGTGTCAGAATACAGCAGTTCTCCAGAAATGGATTTCATCAGACTTGTCTATAAATGTGTCACCAAAGCTAAAGTGTAGAGAGACAAAATGTCTCCTAATGGATAGGGAGATGTCCTCTAATATTCATGACATGCGTGATTACCTATATAATGTAATTACAATGACACACAGTGAGTGAAACAAATATCTAAACATTAACTTTAAAAAAATTCTTGTATTTTTCATTAAACGCACACACAGCATATGTCTATTCTGGGCTACTGTAGAAACATGGTAGTTCAATATGGCAGACTTCACAGAAGAGGACCCGCTCCCTCTGTAGATAGAAACGGCTCGTTCTAAGGGAAGGAAAACCATACATACCTCCTAAATGTTACGCACTGAACCTTTAAATGTTTTCTTAATAGTATAATAGTAAAAAGTGGTAGTTTCCATGACATACATTTGTTTTGCAATATAAATGTATAACAAACTGATTGAATCAGTCAAAGCTTAAGAGACTTCAAATCAGAAAGGAAGATCTGCACATCCTGAAATGCTATCTTCTGTATTTTATTTAATTTCTCCTGCATTAAATCATCTAGATTATCCTTCCAGTGTTTTGTGTGTGTTGAATTCACTGGGAAAATTCCAAGATGTCACGACTCATTTTGTTTAATGGTTCTGGGTTTCGTCACACACAATGTCATCCATTCTCTGATGTTTTGTTTTTTGTCCTTGTCAAGCCATTCTGAGATGCTTAATAAACATGGCGTCTGAAAACTCATGAAAAACATCATCAACTTTGTATATTTCAACTGTTTAACAGAACTGTAATGGAATGTATCCTTTTTACCATAATTTACTCAAATCCTATATAAAAACAGATAAACAAACAAACAGACAGACAGAATTCTGCTTTGGATGAGCTTTAACAACTCTGATCATTCAAAATAACAAAGCAGCTACCGAGACATTCAGAAGCAGACTTGTTGTGGTTAGGTAAAGCAATAATGGACTTCATGCAGTGGCCAGATATATCCATATTACAGATTATTGAAGGTAATTGTAACACTAATGAGCTCTGTCCATGATCAGACACATTATGCAACAAAGTGCTTTGTTATGCAACAGAAATATAAGTAATATATATATATATATATATATGTATTGTTAATATACAAGAATACAAGTTTGTTAGATACATATAATGGCTCATAAAGAGTTAAAAGGTCAGACATTAAACTAGGGGTTAGACTAAAAGTGATCGTTTCTGAGTCGTACTGGTAGCCAGTGCAGATGTGCTTAAACTGGGGTATCACTTTCTCTATGTTTAGTGCCTGTTAAAATACTAGTAGGAGCATTCTGTATCGGTTGGAGACATGAGATTGATTTTTGACTGAGGCAGGTATACAGAAAACTGCAGTAGTCCACACAAGATAAAATAAAAGCATGAATTATTTTCTCCAGATCAGCACAGGATAAAAATGACTTGATGTCTGAGTTGGAGAAAGCAGGACGGCACAACTCTCTTCACCTGCTCTTCAAAAACCAGGTCACCATCAAAAAACACTCCTCAGTTTTTGGCCACAGGTTTTATATTAGATGACATATCCCCTAGATCCTATAAGAAAATATTACTTGTGTTGAGCTCCCCAACTAAAATTATTTCAGACTTGCTCTCGTTCAGCTGAAGAAAGTTTTGTGGCATCCAAAATGTAATGTCCTGGAGACATAATTTAAGCAATTGGGATCATCTTGTCAAAGGGTAGGTATAACTCTATGTCGTCAGAATAGCTATGAAAAGAAATGTGCTTACGAATGATATGATCCAGAGGGAGCATGTAGTGGGAGTTGGGGCCAAGAATTGAGCCTTGTGAAACCCTGGAACATTTCAAAAATAGTATTATCGTTCAATAAATAAGATAACAATTGGTTAAAAACTATTTTTTCTAAAACTTTAGATTAAGAAGGGCAGCTTTGAGATGGGTCTAAAATGAGTAAAATCTGATTTATCATCATTTTATGGAGAGGCTGGATTACTGCATGCTTAAAACTAGATAGAAATATTCCTGTGGCCAAAAAACTATTGACAATAGACAGAACTCTTTTGTGTCAGAGACATCTTCAGTTGGAACTATATCAGAGAGAGACAATATCCTTTAAAAAAGAAAAAAAAAAAGAAAAATGAAATCGGTTGAAAACTATTTTTAAAAACTGTCAGTCCATGTCAGCTGGTGAAAACTGGCATCTTATGTTATTAACCTTCTGAGTGAAATGACAAACAAATTCTTTATACTTCTCTGTGGCTAGGTGAGTAAGTAATGGCCAAATCTATAGTTTGTAACAAAACCTTAGAATTATGACTGCTTTTGGATATTAGGTCTGAGAAAAAAAGCAGCTCTTGCACCTTTAACTGTTTTTTAATATATGAACATTTAATTTCTCAAAATATCCTGGAAAATCTGTAGTTTATTAGACTTCCATTTATGCTTGGCTTTTCTGCATTCTCTGAGTTGTCTCATTTAGCCATGGAAAACCCAGAGATTTAGGCTTGCTATTTTTTAGAGGAGCAATAGAGTCAGGTACTGCCAGACATGTTTGATTAAAATGAGTGACTAGCTCATCTGTGTCCCTATGGGATGTCATACCAGATGTATCACTGTGAGTTGCATGGAAAGCCTCAGAGAATTTGGTTGTGATGTAATGTCTGTACCACCTGCATGTAGATACATGATTTTGGAAAATAAACACAGAAAAAAGGAAAACAGTGAACAAATCAGAAAAACAAGATATGTACAATCATTGTATTCTTGGAAAGATTCAAGAATATTGTCTTATACAGCAATATATACAGTAGGTGAATTTGGTATCAGTATAATAATATGTGAATACAACAGTCTCTAGAACATCCTTGCTTTTACATCGACCAACCACTGAAACACCAGTTGTAGCTTCACATTTGTTCCAGCAAGGGGCAGCAGAGCTTTAAAATGGCTGCTCTCTAACATCTCCCAGGCAGACTGACAAATGTCTCAAATCTAACTGTATTTCCAAAGTGCATTTTGTTTCAGAGCATGAAGAATGAAGAATGAAAGCTTTGGATCCATCAGAAACATTTATTCTAAAATACTAGTGTGAGGAGAGGAGAGAGGAGAGAGGACAGTAGAAAAATCTTCTTCCACTAGATTGCGTATCCAATCTATGAAAAATAAGCATACTTGTCCCATGTTTTTGTTAAAATAGTCATTGTGCAAACATAATAACAATATAAGACTTAGACACCGAGAACACCTCACCACCTTTGTTTTTAACTGAATCTTTACCAGGTGGCTTCTCAGGGTAGAACCAACTCCCCATGCAGGCTCCCTGGGGCCACCAACCTTTTAAACTTCTGAAGCCCTGTGGATGGATGACAAGTAAACAGGCCTACATCTGTCAGCAACAGTAATCCCCTCATGGATTGAGAAAGGCCAGTGCCAGTGGAAAATGTCCCCATGCAGAGGTCAGGCCTCATGCTGCAGTTGGTGGCATAGGTCCATCATTTTATAGAGTGGCTGGGCTGGACACATGGCTTTTCTAGTGCCTGGGTAGAGCCCAGGGTTTGATACGTGAACAATGATGGAAGAACTGTGCTGAAGCTCTTAAGAAGGATCATATTCGATTCGATCATATTTGATCTAAGGTGCCCTAATATCTGAAGAGAGGTGAAGGTGAGCATCCTTTTTATATTTAAGTTTCAAACAGACACATCTCAAATGATTATATGTGTAATTGTGATGAGGAGACCGTTCTTCTAAGTAACCTGGTTCGTTTGTGCCACTACCACTAGCAAACTGACTCATGAATGACTCTTTCAGTTCTGTATTTTTCAATACCTTTGTGCTACTGGGTTAGCTCGCTGAGCAGCGGCTCTCACTTGTTCTTAAGCAGACCGAACAAGTTAGCTTCTGACTCAGAGAGACTCTAAATTGGAAGTTAACCTGGGTCTTATGCACAACTGTGCATGCCCCATACAAAAGCAGGATTTTGAATTAACTTCGGCTTCCAAATTGTTCCTCTTTAAGAGTTGTTCAAAAAAAAATCCCAAATGATCTAACAATACTACTGTCCAACAAGTCTGTTTTTTTCTTTGGATATTGCTAGCAGACTGAACTCACCTAAAACAGTCTAAACCAAGGTATATAGCACAAGTGGCAATTATCATAGACACACTGTTCACTATTGGGTCCGGTAGCATTCATTGAAAGCAGTTCAAACTTTACTGTAAGCATAAAAACTAGACCATTAGGTGTACTATTCAAAACATCCAAGATTTGTAGAAATAATTGTGGTGAAATGTGCTTTAAACCTTGAGCAAAAGAGCACAAAAGCACAGATTTGTAAACACAGTCTCACCTTGCAGCTCTGTTTTTTTCCTGAAGTCATCAAGGCACTGAAGGCTCCCTGGGTTCTCTAGTGCCAACTTGTTGTTGAGGTACCAGAACAGGAGGGTCATGAGGATGATGAAGAGTGCGATGGCTGTCAGAAACCCCAGCACCTCTGGAGAGACTGAGACACAGAAAGTAAAGTTGAAGTTGCTGTTGTTTGCAACAAATGAGAACATGGCTAAGATGACTACTATTCTTTTAAATGGGTGAAAAGTTAGTAACCGTAAGCTAACACAAAAACAAAAGTGGCAGCAAGAATACTGCTGCTGGAAAAGTAACCAAGACATCTTCTAATGGCCATAAAGCAAACCCTCTTCTTAGTCAGTCTTCTTTGTAATGCTTCCATTTTTATATTATGTGAATTAGTGTTTACTAATGTTGAAATGAATGTGGTTGGTTTTTGTTCAAAAGCAGCATTATGCACTTTAACAGCATAATGAATGCCATACTCAAATACACCTTTGATGTGAGAATAGTCTAAGTGCATTAGTTTGGTTTTGGGGAAGCACACAAAAATCGCCCACTTCCTACAAACATCAGTTCAAGACAGATGAGACAGACGGAGGAAGGTAGATTGAAAGGGGCCGGGAGAGACGGAAAACAAGTGGAGGAGAGCGACACAACTGGTTGGTTGCCATAGCAACAGGTTCAAGAGCAACGTCACTCCAGACTCCAGACACACAGGCAAGTCAGAAGCCATTAAACGCAACACTGAGTACCACACATCAGTAGATACGGTTTGGTTTGGAAACAAAACATCATTAGATATGCAGGCAGGATTTGTTAAACCACAATGAACCCTGTTGATGCAGACAATCTGAGGGAGTTTTTGATGGATGAAAGCTAGCTGTGTGACCTTCCACCACACATATGACCTTCCAACACATTCATGGAGGTGTTATGTTATGATCAGGTGTGACGTTTCTGGCTGCACTTGCCCTTGCGACATCAAAGCAATGAAATGAGCTGAATCCCAACTGTTCCTAAGTACAGTATTTAATGTAACCCTTTCAAACGGAAAAAAAACACTAAGCCACCGTAATTTAGTGCAACCTTTTCACTTCACTGAGCAAAAGTTCAGGAAATTCATTGACATTTTACACCGGCAAAATAATTTGTTACAATCGGGGACACATAGAAGATGAGTGGGTCACTGACTGTTCACAAGCTGTTGCACATAAAAAAATAGAAGAAATGCTCCATTTAACTACATTAAAATGTCACTTTCATGCCACAATTCCTGCCCAATCCCAGCATAATGAGAATAATGTTGAGATGAAACACTGAGAATAATGTTAGAGAGGGAAAATTATGTCTCATGGGTATCTGTGTGTGTGCGTAGCATCAGTGCAAACAGCTGTCATGTAAGAGCTGCTATACACAGACTGTCTGGATGTTGTCTTATGCTGTCAGTAGAATTTATTGTTCAACAAGTAGGGACACATTTGAAAAATATTTTTTACAGTTTAATAGACTACGCATCTTCCATAATTTAGGGGGGAGCTGCACCCACTGCTATGAGGCAATAACCATTCTGTGCAGTGGCAGTAGACGGCCCCCTGTTAAAGCCAGGAATTATCCAGTATGAGTGTGTCTTTGCAAATGACGGAAAAATAAAATAACATCATGTGCACGTCAATCAAATACAGTGTGCGGTGCATTATGTCAGTTCCTTGTTTCTCAGTGCTGCAGAGGTTTGTATTCCGTGTAATACCAGTTGCACCAAGGGTTTTATGTATGTAACACTGCACACAAACCTTTTCACAAAAAGTTTGTGGCACTAGAAACAAACTTGTACACCACTCTGTACTCTCTCCAACATCCATAAGATGATAGTGAGAAGGATTTGGATTGTGGGAAGCAGTGGATAGGAAAAAGAGCATGTACAATACAACATACTGCTGCTGACTCCAATCCACACCCCATTTATACTTGATCAAACTTAGAATTAATAAAATGATCAAATTAAGATTAAAGATGTCAAGTATTTAGATTGATTAGATTGAAAAGGGTACTCTCTTGTGTTAATGTTGCACTTTCATAAAGTTGGGCACAAAGCTCCACAAAAGCTCTTAAATAACAGATTCTGTGAAGTACTCCTCATGAAGAGTTTGACGCTTAACTGTTAATAATTTATAGTGTCAAAGTATAAAATAACAAAAGATGTCCATATACAATGGTAGCTCTACATTAGATTAGCAAAAATCAATAGTAATGAGTGCAGATGTCTGAGACATTCACTGGAGTGTCAGATATAAGTAAGAAGAAGAGATAAAAGAGGGAGATAAAACAGATGTTTTTAGTGCAATTAGGAAGAATACATTGTTCACTCCTCACATTACTGCCGAGCTCATTTAAAGTGATGAATTAAGCTTTCAACTCGGAAATCACTACATATAAAGTCCATTTTGTTCAATTAGACCAAACGACTGCCATGGTACTGATGGAGGTAATGAGCTCATTTGGCGACAAAGTGGACTTAGATGGCATCTTATTTTCCGATCAATGATGATGATGCTTTATTTTATTTATAATGAAAATCAGCTGGGCTCTGGTCTGTTACTATGTCTTCATTATGTTTTTGGACCGCCTGGATGAAGTAAATGAGACATAACAGGATGTTGTCCGGTGTGGGTTATAGGGTGACAGCCACTCAAACATCCACTCAAAACGTACAGTGTATGAGTTGTGTAGTAAACTCTGCTTAGTTTTTACACATACAGGCTTAATTAGGTTAAATTAACTCCTCCATCACAAAAACAATGAGCTGTATAACAAGGCTGTTACATATTAACAGCCAGACTTGCTGATTTTTTGAGTAAACGTTGGTCCTCTCTGTAAAATGTGCCTGGGCTGTAATGAGCCTGTTGGTAGCCCACAATGTTTGGTCACATGGTGAGATAGGAGCAGGAGGCACTCTCCCATGGGAATGCCTGTCTGCTCACACTGTACCAGCTTCTCACTGTGGACTGAATTATTCACAGCACAGATGGAGTGGGATCCTGCTCTGTATAATTCCCCAACTGGCTCAAACAGGGTAAATAATATTCAATCACAGAAATCTACAGACAGTTTCTCTCTTTACTTTTGACTCCCTGACTTAAGACTACATCTTTTTTTGGTTTTCTCTATATACGTTATATACTTTAGTCCCTAACATTTGGCATGTTGCCGACACTGTAATAAAAGCGCTGTAACACAGTTGTAGGTGATGTGTGGTGGAGGATGTCTAACATTATTTCTCATTTTCCTGTTTAATTTCATAAAACAGAAGCTCACTCACAAATGCAAAATATGTTTGTGGCATTTAGATTCTCACCTTCCATACTGTAGGTCAAGTTGCTTCTTACTTAGTATTCAAACCTGCAGCCACTAAATGGAACTTAACCAGAAGTGATCCTGACAATAAGTAAAAATAACAATGACTACACATTGATCATGATCTTTTGACTATAAACGAAGAATAGGAGAAACATTAATAGGGCAATTTACTGTATATTTGTGAGTAAAGTCTACAGTATATGTTCAGTTTTAGCTAATATGACTTATTTAACCAAATCTACTGTATTCCATTAAAATGCAGAGAATAGCCCTTAGATAATGTGTGGGGGGGCTGAATGATGACTCACAGGACGATTAAACAATAACAGACTTTGTTACACAAGAAGCTCGGATAATAATGTGGAAAAATGTAGGGACCTTGTAATGGTTCCACATACCAAACCTGAGAGAAACTTTTTTCGAACTTTATTTCCTAACAGAGTGTATTCGGAATTCAATACAGCAGAATAATTCCCGAAAACTGACAGATTTCACATTGCTCCCTCCTCAGGATAATCTCCTATGACAATGTTATTTCTGTAGCCTGTGCAGTTTGCTTAACGATAACCTGAAAGGGTTTATGATGCAAGTAAAAAAAAAAGAAAAGTCTAAAGATGTCCTTGTTGTTAACGGGAAAGTGTCTGAAGCTGAGTATAATACAGATTCAGCTGCAGTGCAAGGCTGATCTTCATCTTGTGCAACAATTTATTTAAGACACACTCAGAAACTAGATATGAGTGATTATCTGGTAGTTTGTGAAGTGGATGAGAAAGACAACGCTTATTAAACTGAACTGTAAGATACTGAAAATCAACAATAACTAACTTATTTTGACATAATAAAGGACAGGAAGTAGTGTAACATTTGAATCGAGCCTGAAAAGATATGCATATTCAGACCAGTTAACCTCTGACAGGTTAACCGATGACTGGCCAAAAGAGGATTTGATTGAACCGTGCCGACAATGACAGTGTCCTTCACAGCTGCCGTCCTAATTAACACAGGGTGGTAATACACAGAACACACTGGAAGAACTATATCTCCCACAATGCCTGGGAGCACTTAGAGATTCCCCAGGAGGAGCGAGAGGACGTTGCTGGAGAAAAGGACATCTGGGCTGCTCAGCTGACCCTGTTGCTATGGTGACACTGACTCAGGTATGTGACAAAAAAAAAAATAAATAGATGGCTGGATGGTTGATGATGTTGTGATTATGCTAGGCTCCTAAAATTGCCATTAATGTTTAGGTGTATGTGTTAAGGAGGGTATCTGATCTTTGCATATGAATATTAAACAGTACGGGGGAAAGCTACTGCACAGAAGTGGAAAACAAATGTGCTTTAAAGTAGTGCAAATTAAAGTGCTTTGTTGTCCCTGTTGACGAATAGCCTTGGTTCTTTTGCTTGGTTATTGTCGTACGTCTCTACTGTCTTTGTTGCGCTCTGTCCGCATGGAAACAGTTGCCATGTTGAATGTCAAAAAGCACAAAACCATCTCAAAACGACGAAGGCACCCACACACTCCACAGGCAGTCCACAAGCACTCTCACCAGCACTCCCATACACACTCCCACACATGTTCAGACAGCGCTCCGGAGCGCAACACCTACTGTGTAGCCACAAGCCCGTCCACACACGAAAATACACTCACACACCCACACCTCTGGAATCAGCCTTCAACAATCACAAAAAACAAATAGGATAACCCAAATTATGAAACACGCACACACTTACACAACCAGCCCATTCAGCTGGCTCGCACACTGTGATAAGCACCCTCTGAATCTACTTGTGCATGTTTGGTTTAAAAGAGAGTCATCTCCATCCAGAACATGAATACTGCCATGGCAAAGAGCGGCAGTGAGTACTCTGACTGAACATGCAACATTTGGATTATTCTAACCAGCCCGGTGTGCTAAAAGCTTGTTAGTACGGAACTTTACAGTTGCAGCACCACGGTGACCTAGAACATGTACTTATATGTGAATGCTGCAAATTATAACTTTACAAGTTCCCATAGTGGAGTGTAGTTTACCCTTTTAGGGCTTTTTACAAAATTAATTCATACAGACCCACAATAATAAAACTGCAGGACTACATATTATAATAATAACAATCATTTAATATATACAGATCATCAAATAAATATACGGGTAAAGAAGACAAGATGTAACAAATTACCGTCTCAGTACTCACTTAACAATTATGGCATACAGTAAATGTTACAGTAATAATGGATACAATGGTTAAATAAATGATAAAATGTTTTTATGTCAATTATTTTTGCTTGGGAATAAAACATTAGGCTAAACCTGAGAGGATGTTGTGCCTTTAAAGTTATAGCTGTGAAAAACAGTATGTGCATGGTTTTAAAATGATGATAAAATACTGGGGGAACAGTGATGTAGTGTTCTTGGACAACCAAAACTAATGTTAGAGAACCAGCTTTTATGTCTTAGCATATCACACCATAAACAGTATATACAAATGTATATAAAAAATTATAAAAATGTATTTTTATTATTTTTGTAAGTATGAATGTAATTTCTTTATAAAGGTATATAATAAATATATGTTTTTTTTTACTAAGTTAAAGCATCACATTTACTATGGCTCCTTTTAGGAGGACATATAGACAAACCCCTGTGTGTACCCTGTAATTATTTAATACCTACTGGCTCTATGTCCCTCCTGTATCCCTTGTACCTTCAAGTAGATACCCAGTAAATATTTCAATTGTACCATATATGTACAAAATATTACACTGTTATTTGCAGGCTGTGTGCATGTTAAGTTTTGACTTGTTACACAAATACCAGGAACACACTTAACTCTAGTCTGACTAGAGATTTAAGGTCTCTACCAGAACTGAAGTTCCAAAACTATGAATTGAAATTTGCGGAGGTACTCATGCTTAAAACAGGATAAAAAAGAGCCACTGACGGTTCTAGAAAGGCAATGGACACAAGCGGCAGTGAACACACACAACAAAACAATGACAGGCCAGCAGCAGTGAAGGCAGCACAACCTGAACACGGTGGAACGGGAGAACAAGGACGTGTGTAAACGGTGACACTGTAACAGTGACAAATGCTGATGAGAAAGGTGGAGTGGGAGGTGCAGTGAGGGGTCGAAGGTCAACCTCCCAGAGCTCTGATCTGCCCTACCTTTTCTGACGCAGATCAGCTCATGTACTCCACAGTTACGCTCGCCACCTGGAAAGACAATGCAGTTTCAATGAGCCACACCGTGATGGAGGGAGCGAAAGACAAAACAAGACATCATGGAAACACATTTAAATATGCTGGAACAAAGACAAATTCCAAGAAAAGGATGAGAACAACACAGATATAAGACACTGACAGAGACTGGATGGTAACACTCTGACGTGGGTGGTCAGTAGCAGTTATACACAGCTCCTATTCAGAGGCTGAGCGTGGGGTTATGTAGAATGTCATTTAACAAGCTAGACCACACTCGTTTCCAGTAATAATTACCTGTCCCAGCCTTAGTAGGTGTACATAACTCAAACCTCTTTTCATCCTTTGTCTCATCTTACATCTCTCCCGTCTCAAAGCATTCTCTTCAACTCTTTAATTAGTACCTTCTTTGCAGAAAACCTTCCTCTCCCTCAGAAAACATAACTAAAGAGGGGAAAGAGCCCTTAAAGAAACAGATGAACTTCCTGGCTGAGAAAAAGATGAGAAGACTGACACCACTCTCATATCTGTCTGTTTAATACGAAGCTTCAGCTAGCAGCCGGTTAGCTTAGCATAAAGACTGGACTCGGGGAGAGCAGGTACTGCACCAAGTAACAAAATCTACCAACCATCACCTGTAACGGCGTAAACAAATCTTAAAAACTACAGGTTATGGCTAGTTGTTTCCCTCTGCTTCCAGTGTTTGTGCTAAGCTAATCTTACCATCTCCTGGTTTTAGCTTGTATGACAGTGAGATAAATCATTTCACCAACTTACTGCAAGAAAGCATAAAAGCCAAGCAGATGTTAAACCTTTTCTTTTAGTGCCCTATAAATGAGACGTGGCCCACTTACCCCCCACCCTGACTAACTGATTTTCCCTGGATTCATCAACATAACATGCCAGCTTTCATCCTCTCGTTCATAAAAACTGTCCTCATTTCATCCTACCATCACTCCACACAACCTTTTGTTTCAATAAACTAATTCTTAGACTGTATGGTTCTGGACAACTGGCCGTAATATTAGTTGGATAAAACACAACAAAAACACAGTCTGAAATAGAGATTTTCTGTCAACCTTGACTACAACAAAATACCAAAATACTTCTTTTATTAAACTGCTTATTTATTCTGAATGGACTGACTAGATCTATCAAAAGCTGCTGCATTCTACAGCATCTCTGACATTTAAAAACCCCACAGCGTGATGAAATCATGTCCTTGATTGTGCATTTTCGTGTCACTGTTCGTTGAGTTTGCTTATCGCCATCAGGAGCTGCGCCAGGCAGCAGAGATAAAGTGCTGAGGTATTTCACAATATCCTCAGATGCCATTTAAATGCAACCCGCTGATGGTTTGATGGTGAAACTGCTTGAGTAAAGTGTTCTGGGAGTTTGGGGAAAGCGGTGTCGTTCTGTCTGTGTGATCTGACTCCACAAAGCATTGTTCTAAAGCCGGCACAGCTCAATGATCCTCAACCATGGGCAAATTCTGGATGCAGAGGGTGTCTTCTAATCTTAGCACAATCCTTGGCAGCATCCATGCACTCCTGTATCAGTATGATGGTTACATAAAAAACACAAGGCTGGACTGAACTTTGGAGAGACATTAAAGTGCTATGATGACTGTCCAAAACATTCAGAGATCCATTAACAGAACTGAACAGACTAATTACCAAATTAATTAAATTACCTTGTTGATTGAAAGATGTGATATTTTACAGAACCCATATTTTAGATTTGGGTTCAAGTTTGGGTCATATGAGTGAGGGAGTTTTCACATGCCCATGTGCAAACCACTTAAGGGAAGTTTAGGAGTAAGTATTGAATTAAAGTCTGGCAATGCAACCATGCTGATATTTAGGAGGTATATTGCTTATCATGTTCACCGTCTTAGTTTAGAATGTCCTCCTATGACCTCCCCCAGGAGGACATGAATGACCATACCATATTTTATGACAACCTATCCAATAGTTGTTGAGACATTTCACTCAAAACCACAAATGTCAACAATCATGGTGGCACAAGAGAAAAGGCCAGGGGATCAGGATTCATCCTCTAGGAAACATGAATGTCAGGGCAATAACTTTAATAGTTGTCGGGATATTTAAGTCTGGAAGTGGTGGACCGAAGAACTGACAGCCAGTCATTGCTGTACAAAAAAAAACAACATAAATACAAAAATAACATATGACATTAAAATTCTGCTTTGGAAAAGAAGTAAAATGTGCCATAAACAGCGTGTTGATGTTGTATTTCTTTTACAAATCAAAGTACTAATTCTTGAAGTGACACCTTCACATATAGAATTTGAAAGAGTTGTATTTCAGAGCCCGGCATCAGGAGCAGTGTCTGGCGGTGGTTTCCACACTGGTCCTCTGTCGCTCTGAATTCTTATACAACACTGTGACAGCTCAGTGGCCTGGACCCAGTGGGTGGCAGCTGCAGGGGTGTGAGTGTCCATCACAGCACCAGATTATCATGAGGTAGATACCTATTATTCAGACAGAGGACGTCTACGAAAAGCTCACCCTGGTTTTCTATACCAGACGGGCTTCCAGACAGTGACTATAATTCAGAACTATTACTCACACTTGTGAAGCCCTCCCAGTCTCGGAGCTCTGCGGCGGCCTCTGGGATGTGTCTACAGGTTGAGGTCTCAAATAGCTCCGGCTGCCATCAGCTGTGACACTTGTAAGATTTGTGCAGCTCTGATACAAAAGGCTAAACGCACTGAAACCAGCGGTGTCACAGTGGTGTAAGGGTCGCAGTGACACATGACCTTTGCCTCGTGTCATCTTTCATACCAGGCTAACATCTGAACCGCGTGATGACGTATCTATGAATGAATCAGCCATGTAGGGTTCGTGGAAATGATTTTTTTTTTTGTGTGTCAATCTATTCCTGTCTTATCTGACAAAAAGCTTTTACCAGACAAGACTTTTAATCCAACGGGCATCAGACATCCACAAATATTTGTTTTGCCAACTGTAGGAGAGTACAATCCATACACAGTAGAAAAATCCAGCTGTGCCATTTAACTAGACCGTTGTGGTGAAGAGGGAGCTAAGCAGGCTTTCCATTTATCTGTCGATCTATGTTCCAACCCTAATAATAATAAAATAATCATTAGTTACAGCCTTAAACAACTAAAAATCTTGATGTACTGACGCTATTCGGGGGGTCGACGATCGAGGGAGGGAAAAATGTAAACTTGCAGAGTTAAAGCAATGCTTCCAGCGCTGAATTAAAAGACTGTGCCTTTACCTTGACAAAATGTTCTTTTACTTTTACTGTCTTTCAAATGAGTTTTTGAGCAGCTCAATATTTTACATTCCAATGAAACCTCTTGGGTACAGTCTCTGGCCATGGGAAAGAATAGGTCATATTCATAAAATGCATACATATTAATGGACTGCCCTAGACCTTAACAAATGATAAGTTTATTGGATTTTTTAAAACTCCACTGTATGTATCAACGTCTTTAAGAGTAAAAGGCAAGAAACTCAACCAGGCTTCAGATAAGACACAATCTCTGCCTATGTTTTCACTGTTAACAGTCTAAATCCTGTGACTCAAGTAAAGCTGGCTGTAAAAACTTTCAGCTGCCATGTACTCAGTTGCTATCAAACTCCTTACTTACAGTTACTGCTGCACTACTGTTGTTACGGTAACATAAAAACTGAATCATTCGTTTCCCATGTAAAAGGAAGTAACCTACTGTTACAGGAAATTGGTCGGCTAATTAGTTCACTAATGGCCACAGGAAAACTGTCCAACGGTTCATGTAAATACAAACCTCAGTAAGACATAAAACAATGTGTGGCCGATAGCCACGTTACCGCATGTAAACACAGCCATCGAAGGAAGTTGAGCCGCAACATGACAAGACTGTCTGCAGATCTTTCCTGCCAAACTGGGAGCTGAAAGCCGAGTTGTTGTCCAGCAGATCGATACAGCAGCTGTGTGTGGGAGGAAGCTCCCTGTGCTCTTTCACTCCTCTTTCACTCACCACACACCATACTTGTCAAAAATAACATTTTCTTGCATGTGCTCTTGAATACGGTACACAGTGCTGCTCATATTGCTCATATCGCACCACAAGCAATCTCTCCCCCCCATCTTCTAAATATTCTGGGGATTGAAGTTCCTTTAACCAGCGGCCAAGTTTTTCTACATAGCGTTCAATACCAAAGATGTCATTCCATGCTATTGTATTCTGCTATTGGTATCCCAAGTGTGTTTCCTCATAGGCACAGGACCATTTTCACTCCCTTGTGTCTCGCCTTCATTACCTAGATTTCTACAGCGAAACACACTCGCAAATTCTAATTAGGTAAATTAATGCATTCATGGGAAAACTGAATATGAACAAACAGCCAAATTATAGTCATTAATACCTAATGTAGGCAGAAAGTTGTTGCAAAATCTACAAAATTCGTTCTTTGTTAGCAAGGACCTCCAAACACAGAAGGTGTAAGAGTCAGTAAATGTTTTAAATGTGTCATTCTTAAAGGGGAAATCCACCAATGTTACACAAATTCTGTTTACAGGTGACTACTGCATTATGTGAAAAAACTTAATAAAACCTTTTGTGGCTCCAGAGGGAGCTGTGTGAAGTCTGTGATACGTTTCCTCAAGTGATATTCATTTGAGTCAGCGTCAGTTGGGGTTGAAGACTACAAAATTTGAAAATGAAAATGTTGTGGATTTATAAGCAATAAGCTAGTTTAGCAGACCTCTGCAGTGAGGCTTTTGTGAAGCTTCAGAGAGCACAATGAAAACAGAGTACCGGCTCTTGTCAGTACATGGAGAGGTTCACATGATCTCCTCTTGAGTCTGACAGAAATCAATCTGAAGCACCAGTTTCTGAGTTCTCGTTCCTCAACCTTGGCTTCGCCAGAGAAAAAGTCTCACTTCTGGAAACTAAATCAAGGTGAAGTCTGTGGACACAGTCTTCCCTCATGCAGACGTCTGGGGCCAGGCCGGTAGCATTTTTAGGAATCGTCCCAGTT